GTCACCTTCTTTGATCATGCACTGCAGTCCGTATTGCACTTCATAAGGGTGTTTATTCCCCGCTTGCCTCCCTTTCCTGAATTGAGAGGTTTCTAAGCCTAAATATACAAATATATTCCTTTTTTCCCCATATATTTTATTGATTTTTTAAAATATAAATCACTTAATAGTTGGTAAACTAGGTTTGCTAGGTTTACATTTGTAAAGAAAAATCATTAACAATTGGTTTCTATAATCCATAATCTACATAGTACATTTAGTTTATTTCCCCAAAATGTCTTCTTTGCAAACCTTGAAATAATACAGTTCTTATTATTTTGATAAATAAGTTACATATATGATTTTTTCCCCAATATTCGTAGAAATAATGATCACATCAATATAATATTTCTTTTCTACCTAATCATTCTGGTTGCCTCATCTTATATCCTGTTACAGTCCTTATTTAGATTTATTTCTCCCATAAAGTTCAAAGTATTCTTGCTGGTTAAATTTTTCTCAACAGTTAATTACATTTAAAGATTTAAATCCATTTTTCCCACATAAACCATCTCAACACTTTTACATTTCTTAAAGAATAGATAAAAACAGTAAAGAAATGGAAAAGAGAGCAAGAGTAAAGAAACATAAAAAGTAAAATACTACTTAAAATATATATTCCTCCTAAGCTAATATATATTCATTCCCAAAATTTCTTATTCTTTTTAACCATGATTAAAAATATATTTAATCTTTAAATATTCCATTTAATGTGCCTAGTCATCTAATGCTTTAGCTCTTATTCAAAACATTTTTTATTTTTTATACATTATAATTTCCCTAAATTCAGACACATTTAATTATCTAAAACATTTCCTTCATCTAGGCCAGACATGTCAAACTCGTGATGTCATGTGATGTCACACGATGTATTGGGACTGTTTTGCCATTCCATGTGACGCGTCCAGCCCGCAGGTCGGCAGTTTGTCACCCCTGATCTAGGCCATTTCAGCAGTATTATATTACTTATATCAAGAAATAAAATAAAAAAGGGGGGAAAAGCATACAATATTATTTAAGGAATTCATCTCTCTTAGAATAGAAAAGGGAAAATCAGATTCCTCATCCAGTTTCAAGCATGCTGTTTACTGTAGTGCTGGTTAGTTCTTTTGGACTCTGGTTGCAAGTAGCTTGGGCTGATCGATGAAATACAGCCTTTCTCCTGTCGGGTTAGAAGGCTTTCCCCAAAACGAATGGAACAACCGCCATCATTCCAGAGTCACCGGGGCACCCTTCTTTCTTTGCCGCCTCTCCAGGGCGGCTTGGACCCATTAGGGTCTCCAGGCAGGACGAAGGTTGGCCATCGGGGTACGGCAGTCTGCATGCCCGCAACCAGTTGCTACCACACAGGACTGGAAGTCCCACAAATATATTCCTTTCCCCTCCTGGAGTTCTAACAGGTGGTGACATTATCTTTTCTTCCACATGTTGACCTCTGGTCTCTGAGATCTATTTTGAAATATAAACAAAAAAGTCACTTTTTGTCTCTTTTCTTCTTCATATAAAAGGATCACATTATGCCAGAAATATATGAAACAAGAATGAAGAAATGGCCATCTAGACTTGTACTTAACTGTACTGAGAATGGTTCAGAAAACTGTATTTCACATATGGAAATATTCAGAAATGTTTTTCCTAGCACCATCAAAGTCAACCTAGAGGAAATAACCTTTTAAGATGATTGCCATCAGGATGGGAAAAAACAAAACACCTACATTTTCTTCACCGAGTCAGACTACCAGTTCAATAATGGCATCAATAGATCTATCATTGACAAAATTGCCATACATGGATATTTTGCTCTGCTATTAATAAATCTGAAGCTATTCTCTTTGGATTCTGCAGTAGGCAGAACAGTGTTTCCAAGGATCCTCAACAGAAGAGGGAAAACAGAAATATAATATCTTTCTACTTACAGTTCTCTTAGACAAGCAACTTCCTCTCAGCATTCCATTCCAGTGGCTTTCCATTAGAGAAAATTGCCATCTATTCTTGCTTTGATCTGTCATATCAAATAAGATACCAATATCTGCATGATCACTACTCCTATTTTTCCTGCTTTGCCAGTGTGAGTGTGACATTGATTGACAGAGGGGAGCTGAAAATTTTCTGACCCCAAAATCTAGTATTGTGATCCATACCCGAAGCAAAAGGAATATATGCCTGTAAATATGATTTCCCATCACCATGCTGCATAGGTCAGTACTGACTTATGTTATTTAGGGGCCACTGATGCCAAAACTACTACAGAAGACCAATTTATAGTATTAACATACCAACGGGGAATAACCTACAATGTCTCAACACCAGATAATCCCAGTGAATCATACATCTCATTTGTCCCAAATACAAGACTTAGATTAGTTACTAAGATCTGCACAAGAGACTGCAGGATAGGCATTGAAAAATCACTGAGAACTTGGTTCTCAGAAGAGATGACTTTTCAAAACAATTCTGTAATTAAAAATAAAAATCAGTTAACAATAAAAAGGGAGAATCTAAATAACTCTGGTAAGAAAATGCAAGATCTTTTTGTAGCATATTTTTCTAAATTTATTTATGGTAGGTACAGGCAAAGAAAGATCTGGGGTCTGGGGACATCATTTAGCATCAGTTGTGAGCCTGGTTACCAGTACAGACCTTAATGTACCATGCCTGGTGATATTATTATTATTATTATTATTATTATTATTATTATTATTATTATTATTATTATTACTACTACTACTACTACTACTACTACTACTACTACTACTACTACTACTACTATAGAGAGAGGCTTCTTTTTCCTTATTTCATGATGAAATTAAATATAAGCAAAACATTTTCCATGTCAATATTTCAGCATTTGGGTTGGTTGTTGGTTGTTTATTTCTAACTATGTTACTATTTTCCTTTATTTCAAAGAAATCAAGGCAGATTACATAGAAAAAAGATAAAATCATAATAAAATAAAAAATGTAAAATAATGTCACAGTAGCAATTGCAGACCAAGTCCACCATCTATTCAAAAGTCTGTCAAAGCAGAATGTTTTGGGTAATGTGAATGAGAAAATGGTTTCCCATAACTCAAAGAATGAGGTATTTCATAAAGTGGTCATGACCAAGGACATCACCCAGTCCATTTACCTTACATTGAGCAGTCCCTTTGATTTCAGCTGATTGTGGTGAAGAGAGGCAAACCAGTAAGTGCATAGATTCTAAACCATATAGGGATTGAAACATAAAATCAATACCTTGATTTGAGTCTGGAAGCAAATAGTTTGAGTTATTGCCATTTCTTTTTCTAAGTATTTCTGTACTTGTTTGATGCATGGTTTTTGAATGTTCCTAAGTCCAGTAACATTGTCATGGGAAGAATATTCTCCCAGCATCCTTTTGATCATATGGCATTATTCTTAGCTAATATATCTCTTGCTTGGCCTGTATCAGCACCAGCTCACAGCAAAGTGATCAGACTTAGTACACACCGCTAGACAGCAAGCCATGAATTGGTTATGGAACGGCATTTTTTTTACTACTTCCATCTGTCATCAGAGATGACTTTCAAATGAGAAGGAGAGTGTGTTCAGTGTAAGTACCAATCTGAGGCCATTGGAACTGGCAAGACAATAAATCTTGGCATATGAGGAGGAGGTTTGTTTTTTAATCTTTTAACTATTACTGAGGTGCAGTATAATACAGACTAATAATAATGACTAATTTACACAATTGAGCAACAAACAAAACAAAAAAATAGCAAATAAAAATCACATATAGATTTAATGGAGTGAAACATTTCACACTATATAGCACCAATAGCTAGAGATCTGCCGGGGACAATCAGAGTATGATAGTGGTGCTGGGTCAAAACTCCAGAGTTACTTTCAAATAGATTGGTGAGTCATTTGGAAATGATTTGTGTCTTATTCACTGCTGGGGAAACCAACACCAGATCTCTTTGCTCTAACATTAAAACTGTCAATTAGAATTCCTATGTAGGAATAATTATGTCTATGTCTCTAAGGAGCTTCCTTTCATAGAAATAGATAGAGGGTTTTTTTTTGTTTTGTTTTTGTAAAATGGTCAAAAGCACATAACAAATACTAAAAATATTATAGTTGGAGTAGAATTATTTTTTTTCTCCTTTCTGCATGGAACAGAATTTTTACTATAGCAAGATAGTTTAGGAACTAGGGTATTTAGTAGCAATTTTTCCTTCCTTCTGTTTAGTATTATAGCACTGTTTGACTTGTGATATTGCTAACTTGTTCTGAGATCAACTAGAGTAAAGATGACTACATGGCTAACTTCAAAATATTTTGAAGGGTTGGTAAGTAGAAATGGTTTAACCTTGCATGTAAAATGTTAACATAATCAGGTGGAATAAACAGTAAATGAAACTCAAGGAGCTTCTTAAAATATCTAAACCTATAGCATTGCTTTAAATAAGTCTAAATTGTTTCCTAGCAATGACATTTTCCCCATAGCTGTAATATCTTAGTTGTCACTATGACAGATGTTTTCTTTGAGCAAATGACCCTTTTAAGTTAGATAATGTGAACCATAGCATGGTTGCTCTGCTATAGATTTTGTTTTCTGAAGAAAAACTTTTTAAAGAAAGTTTGGGATACTGTTGTTTTTTAAAAAAGTTTTAATAACTGGGCTTAGTAAGATACAATAGAACAGACGATTTGAACAATTGCCTCTATAAATTTAAATATACTGCTCACAAAAATAAAAGGAACACAAACGTACACGATCCTATACGTTTGTGTTCCCTTTATTTTTTGGAGCAGTATATATTAATATTTAAAGCAGTTAACTGGAATGAATGTGATATGACAAAACATGAATTTAATTGGATATTTTATGTATGTATATATATATGTATATATATGTGTGTGTGTTGTGTATGTATGTATGTATGTATGTATGTATGTGTGTAGCAACTCCATAAACCACTTCTTTTTTTATTGAAGGTACGATACATTTCATCGCATATTAAAGAAGAGTGAAGAAAATGAAGGCGGTCTCAACAAATTCACAAAGAGTTACCAAACATTTGGAATCAACAGATTCAGTGATGGAGGATTATACTGTAAAGAATGGGCTCCTGGTGCAGAAGCAGTATTTCTTACTGGTGATTTTAGTAAGTATTTTCCAGCACATATGAGCTTCTTTTATTGTTATGGTGCCTCTAAAATCAGTCTTAATGTCATGAGTTTGCTTTCCATTTTGTAATAAAACCAGAAGATAACACTTTAACTTAAAAATATATCTGATGTGTGTTTGTACTCAGCATAAGACAAGATCATTGAACTATAGTTACTTAAATAAGTTTGGTAGGTATCAATTCTTGATCTTTGCATCTGGAGACTTACTTTTATCCAAAATACTATGAAATGTACTGGGTACCCTTATGATAGTTACCATGTTACAGTCTGAATGGGTAGTGTCATGTACTGTATACAGTTGTGTGTAAAAGTTGCAGGCACTTCTGAAAAATACTGAATGTTTCAATGAATTCCAGAGTGATCAAAAGCTGACTCAGCCGCTAAAAAGCAAACAAGAGTTGAATGCATAGATGTTATTTACAGACAGAGAAAAAGAAAATAGTATGTCAGGTGGAAAAAATTAATTTCCTTTTCAGTCAATACTTTTTAATATTCCCTTTGAGATAAATAACACTTTTCAAACATTTTCTGTAGCATTCATCTTTTTTTTTTCATGTAAGTACTTCATGGATGGCTTAGAATGGCCTTTAAAATTCCCTGACTTGAATCACTGAAAATCTGTGGGGATATCTCAAATATTCAGTGCATGTAAGGAAGCCAGTGAATATCTCTGAACTGAAAGAGTTCTGCAAGGAACTCTGTTTCACTATAGAGGTTATGTCATCTGTTCATGAGGAATTCATTGAGACATACTGTTTGGCCAAGGTATCTAAACTTCTATATGCAACTATATTTAATTATAAATATGCTAGCCATTTTTGCTTTTTGTAAAGAATCATTTATATTTCACAGCATAGAAGTTATCTATATGACTGGGAATTTAAATCTGGAAAGTATGCAGCAATGGCAAAACTAATAGTATATATACATAATAAAGATTTAAATAAATATAAGCAAGAATGATTCTCATACATGCAATGTATCATACAGCATGGTAAATATAATCACAATGTGGCTTCTAAGAGGACTTAAATATCTACATTATGTACAATTTGGAAAATTGGCAGATGTACCAAAAGTTTAGGGCCTCAATAGTTTTCCCCCTTTTATTTATTGGTGGTTTTGCTAAATTGATTTTTTCATATTTCATAAATATTTCATATTTTTCCTTTTATTAACATTTATACATCATATACACACACTACACATTCACAAGAAAAAGAGAGAGACTTCAGTATCAAGTAATTAGCTGAAGATTAAAACCTTTTATTGTGCAACAAATAATTTTATGTAATCTGCTACAGTTTCTTTTTAATGTTATACTCTATGCCATGGAGTATAAAGTTGCCAAGGCTGGGGACTCCTGCTCTATGCTATATATATCAGCTGCTATATGTGGCAGAGTATGAAGAAGCCAAAGCATAAAGTTACTTCACTTTTTCATATTGTACCACATATAGCATAGAAACATAGATTAAGATAGCATTAGCTTGGTACAGTGGATAAGATAGAATTAGTTCGGTATAATGGTTAAGGTATCAGGCTAGAAACTGGGAAACACTTTGGTCTAAGTGTCAGGCACCTTGGACCAATCATTCTTTCAACCCTAGGAAGAAACTGTCAATGGCAGACCACTTCTGAAATCTTGTCAAGAAAGATGTAGGGACTAGTGTAGCCCCCAAGCATCAAAAGAACAACAAATTGTAATTAATCTGATACAATATTTCTTTGACTTTCCTGTATTTCTAATACTCTACATTATATAAACCAGAGGCCCACAACCTTTTGGGCACCAGGGACCAGTTCTATGGAAAAATATTTTTCCATGGACCAGAGTGGGCATGGTTTCGTGTGCTGCCTGCATCCCACGGATGGGGCTTTGCTTGTTTGCGTGGCCCAGTTGCTGGCATGCTACAGCCTGGTGCCAGTCCATGGACCAGGGGTTGGGGACCCTGATTTAAACAATAGAACATCAATACATGTACAATATGATTGTATTGAAGCAATATAATGTATTCAGATTTCAATATAATATTGAAATACAATCTAATTATTCAATTATTCAATATAATAAAAAGGATATAGATAAGATATACAGACATATCCATCCATCATCCATCTCATGATTTGATGAGATTGTAGGCTTCTTAACCAAGAATTGGGAAAGCATGCCAAAAAGGGCTCCAGCTTTTGAACTACAGTTTTTTTAATAGATCTACAGATCATTATTATTAAGGTTGGCCGACATGAGGGTTGATCAGCAATTCTGTAGACTGTACTCTGCCAGAACTCTCTTTATCTTTTGTTCAACTGTAAGATCCATTTGCTGGAGAGAATGAAAAAATGAAGCAAGCCACCTAGTGTATCTGCTAAATGGGAGCTATTTATGTATCTTTTGGAATAACTTCATTTTCTTTATATCATAATTACATTGGGCTTTGATTTACTGATTTTTAAGTCCATATTCCTTGTTGCATCATATAATCTACTTTATATTTGCTGCAAGTTATGTTTGTTCTCATTTAGCAACAGGACATGTTTTCAAACAAAAATCTATGTACATTTATGCCCTCAACTACAATGCTTCCAACTGTATTTTTGCTCTCTACCCCAGAGATACTCATAGTATTAAGAGAGCTTTCACAGTATTGCAGTTGGACAATTAACACTGTTAAAAGTTTAGTAAATCATAAATATGAGGCAATTGGTAATCAAAAGCTCTAATAAAGAGACGGTATTGACATTGTAGCTACTTGAAAAGCTTAAAGAAAATTACTTTTTACACATATTTTCTTATTAATTAAATATAGAATTTAACATCAATCACTTTAATTTCTTGAAAAATATAGCGATTGTAGGTATAGTGGAATAACATGACTTTCCTAAGATGTCACAGTTCCTGGAGTGGTTCCTATAATTCCTGGAGTCAGAGGATTTAAACATAGGAACCTCCTTTTGACACTAATAAGCTGTCATTTGTCAAATAGTTAAAGATTAATCAAGCAGCTTATTTTATTTATTTATGCATTTATATCCTTGACATACTAAAAATGATTAAATCACTTGAGCTTTTGATTCAAATCAAAAGCTGTCTGAGTTGGGACATCAATTGTAATTATTTTATGTAGACTCATTGCACCTACTTTTTCTTCCCTAATTGCCAAGCTACATGATGGATGAATTACACATTCAGCAAACTAGGGTCCAAAAGTTATCTAAAAACTGAAGGATTTTTAATTGAAGCACAAGGTCTTCAGAGAATCTCCAAGAGACAGAGTAGAAAATGTGGAAAGGATATGAAGATTTAATGTCAAAAATTCTTTATTTCCCAAATAACGATTTAGGGAATTGTGGATTGTATTATTTCATTTTTTTCATAATTTAACTTTTAGCTTAAAATTAAATTTAACTCTTGTTCTGCTTTGGAACTGCACTACAAATATTAAAATAACTCCTCATATATGCAGAAAGGTCCCAAAGTAATGAGTTGTACAGGAAAAAAAAGCATTGTCAACTTCTCTGATCCTGTTTTTATATATGAATATTTACTATTTAATTTTTTTTAAATTATTATAGATAACTGGAATCCATTTTCCCATCCATACAAGAAAATGGATTTTGGGAAATGGGAATTGTTCATTCCACCTGGACCAGATGGGTTTCGCCCTGTTTCTCATGGATCCAAACTGAAGGTGTGTGTTTCAAAAAGATACTTCATTGTTGTATCGATGTTTATTGTCAAATTTCATAATTGAAGTTTTCTAGTGTTCAGTTATGTACCACTTAATATTTCAAAGTGAAAATAAGACCTGCAAACCCATTTTCTTCACCTCCATGGATTGCTATCAAAATAATATAAAACAAAATTACTATACATTACCAAAATTACTGTATAATGAACAAAATAATTATATGAGGGCAATTCGGAAATAAACCTCCATTTAGTTATCAATGATAGACACTCACAGATACAGAACGTTTATTATACACATTAGAAAACTACAACATTACGTTACTTTTCGACACAATTGCCATTCATATTGAGGCACTTGTCATAACGTCTTATAAGGTTTGAAATTCCTTGGTAGTAGTCGCTCAGTGCTAAATCTGGGCTATGGGGGAAGATGATCAAAAACATCCCAACAGAACTGCTTCAAAAGTTCTTGAGTGCATCTAGCAGTGTGCGGGTGAGCATTATCATGAACCAACACCACACCAGAAGTGGTGCCATAGAAAATCCCACCAAATGTGAAGATGCTAAAGGAATACTGCTATGAAATTCATGGAGCATGGTTCAACCATCAGTTTTCTACTGTGGAAAACTCAGACGAGCCATAACAAGTGTCAGGGCATGTGACTTCCAGTGTGGTATTGGTTCACCATTCATTCATTCATATTTATATAGCTGCCTTTCTCACAATCAAGTGACTTTGAACAGCATATATAGTGACCATAATTTCTATTAGTCAGACCAGGCACAAAGTATTGCACCCAGTATATAGCACTATATTTTGAGAAGGGCACTGACAAATAGGAGTATGTCTAGAGGGGAGTAACAAAGATTATAAGAAGCCTGGATTGAAACACTTGTGTAAATATGGTAGCTTGTATTCAAGTATTTGAAAGACCATTAAGTAGAAGATGGACAAAATTGTTCAAAGGTTTTCCAGAAGGCAGGATATTTAGCAATGGCTTGAAATGACAAAATAAATTTCATTGTACTTCATAAAAAATGTCTTAGCCACTAAGATTGCTCAGTAATGGAACAGTCTTGGGTGGGAGAAAGCTTCCATCCTTTACTATAGGAATTTAAACAGAGACTGGATGATTATACAGTATGTTGGGGATCCATTAGTGATGTATTCATGAATTAGGCATAGAGTTGGACAAATTATCTTCAAGATCTCTTTTAGTTTCTACATTGTATGATTCAAAAAGTGTAGTGGCCACATTGGAAGCAAAAACCGTTTGTTTTTACCTCATTAAATACAATGCAAGATTTTCCTAAATAAGCTCTAGCTTATTATGCTCTATACAGGAGACAGGGACAAGAAATGTTCCTTTCTCCAGCTTGGAAAAGAACGGAGAATCCACGAATGGGTTAAAGAAGTCCTCTAGCCCAATCAGACCAAATCAATCAAGTTGCCACGCCCCTGCTGGACTGGACCTTGCCCCAGTTTTGATTTGGATGTGGAAATTTGGCTCCCAAAGCAAACTTTTAGGAGGACAGGTCGTATTTCTTTTTGTTTGATTCCCATTCATGGATTTGTCATTCTCTTGCCATCTGGTCAGCGCTGGGATCAGTGCTGTCCCAGTTCGGCAAGTGTTCCAAAAAAGGTTTCTTAGCTTCCCTGAGGCAGTATTCTCCCCGCTTTGTCAGCTGCCATTTTAAATGAGGCTTTTTTCCCTCCGGATTCATACTGCCTTACTAAGCTTCCTTCTCTTGCAATTTGTCTTTCTCTCTTACTATTTACCAGCCAGGAAAAATTGTTTTTTCAATTACTCCTTTTAGTTATTTGCCGGTAGAAGATTGTTCCTTCTGTTTTCAATTACTACTTCTTTCTCTTCTCTCTTACGTAAGGCCCGCGCCACCAGGAAGATCAAACCGGAAAAGACTCTGGTCCCCAATCAGACACCTGGCCAGGTTACCAGCCCACTGTTCTCAGAACCTGTAGTGAAACATCAACAGATTCCTTGTCCTCCCATGTTTCTGAAATCGGTGTGGGATCAATGGGGTTCACCAGGCATCTTTTCCGCCCTCAGGGGGATTGACCATAAACTCATTGATACAGTTTCGACCCTGAATGAGGCGTTGGAGGTTCCAGGAGTAGACGAGTTCCTTACTCCCATCCTTTCAGAATCCAAGATTCCATGTCGGAGGCGCTGAAGGCCGAGGAAAAAAAATCAGAGGTTTCTTTCTGTAGGACACACCAGACCTCGGCATGGGCGGTGAGAGCTTCCACATCGAATTCCTTTTTCGCCAGGATCTCTCTGATCTGGCTACATGAACTCCAGTCCAGAATCTCCCCAGAGGAGATTCAATCCATCTTGGCCAGCGTATGGCAGGGGGACTTCCTGACATCAGTAGACCTTACAGAGGCATACTTTTTTTTTTATTGAAAATTTTTAAAATTTTTACAAGAAAAAAAAACAACCCTCCCCAACCCACCCCAACCCTCCCACTCCCTCCCTCAGCCTTCCCAGAGCTGAATATAGGCTTAATTAAAGTTTCTTAAATACTTAAAAAAAATATAAGCCATAGATAAGTCTAAATACATTACTTAAACAACTAATAAAATGATTAACAATAATATATATATATATAAAAAAACACAAATATTAAAAAAAGAAAAAAAAAAGAAAATACTTAAAAGGAATAAAAAGAAAGAAAGAAGAAAAGAGATATAAAAAAGTAGAGTAATAATAAAAAAATATAAAGAAAAAAAAGAATAATACAGTCTATAAAATATTAAAATTTATATATAAGTTATTGAAGAACTAAGTAGTATTTTTTTATATCCAACTTATGTTGTATAAAATCTATCCATTTTTCCCATACCACAAAAAACTTCTCTTGCGATTGATCCTTTAAAAAAGCCGAAATCTTTGCCATTTCTGCCAGATAGGATACTTTAAAAAAACCACCCTTGCAAAGTATGCAGAGATTCCTTCTTCCAGTATTGCCCTACTAACAACCTTGCGGCTGTAATTAAATTTAACATCAGTATAACCTCCTTAGTATCACAATCGGTAACAATACCTAGCAAAAACAATTGTGGGGTAAATTTTACCCTCCTTCTAAAAATTCTTTGAATATTCCACCATATCTTAATCCAAAACGCTTTTATATTTTTACAGGACCACCAAATATGGTAATAAGTAGCATCCAAACAACCACATCTCCAACATTTGGGCTGTAAGTCAGGATACATACGAGACATTTTTTGTGGATCAAGGTGCCATCTATAAAACATTTTATAAAAATTCTCCCTTAAGTTCTGGGCTTGTGTAAATTTAACATTTCTCACCCAGATGGTTTCCCAGGTATCTAGTAGAACTGGTTCACCAAAATTTTGTGCCCATTTAATCATACATTCTTTAATTAATTCTGGTTCTGAATCCAATTCTACTAGCACCCCATAAATTCTCTTAATGTGAGTTCGTCTTTGATCTTTTACTTGTTTAACAAAATTTTCATCTTCTCTAAGCAAGCCCATATTACGATCTATCTTCCATCTATCCGCTATTTGTCTGTACTGAAACCATGAATATATAATATTTTCTTGTGCTAAATCTTCCAAAGATTTTAACTGCCAATTTTTACCATCCCATCTGAGCAATTGTGCATAAGAAACACTATCCTTCCTAACTCCTCTCTTTATCCCCTCTATCGCATGCCAAGGTATAGCCCATAATGGTATTTTAAAATCACTTCTATAATATTTCCTCCAAACCCGAAGTAAAGAAATCCTTATAATATGAGATTTAAAAACCCAGTCAACTTTTTTATTAAAAATTAAATAGGCATGCCATCCAAAAAGTAAATCCCAACCCTCCAGGAGGAGTATTTCTACATTTGTTAAATTAACCCAATCACTAATTAATGTTAAGGCCACAGCATCATAATACAATTTCAAATTCGGTACCTTGAGTCCACCTCTCTCACGAATATCTTGTGTAATTTTAAGCTTTACTCTTGGTTTTTTCCCTGCCCAAATAAATTTATTGATACCTTTCTGCCATTCATTTAAATTAACCTCATTCTTTAAAATAGGTATCATTTGAAATAAAAAAAGGAATTTAGGCAGGACATTCATTTTAATCGCCGCAGTTCTTCCCAAAAAAGATAATTGCAACTTCTCCCAATTTTTCAAGTCTCTTTGTATCCTGACCCACAACCTTTCATAATTATTTTTATACAATTTTACATTAGAGACAGATAAAGTAACCCCCAGATATTTTACCTTATCAACAACCTCAAAATCTGTCAAATTAACCAAAGTCTGCTTATCCATATTAGTCATATTTTTGGGTAATATTTTGGTCTTATTATTATTAATTTTAAAACCTGAAACCCGTCCATATTGGTATATCAATTGTAATAACTCTACTACGGAGTGAGTAGGTTGGGACAGGGTAACCACCAAGTCATCTGCAAAAGCTCTTAGTTTATATTCTTTTTTATTAACTTCTATTCCTTTTATTTGCTGTGATTCTCGGATTTTAATCAGCAATATTTCCAAAGTTAAAACAAACAGCAAAGGTGACAATGGACATCCCTGTCTAGTCCCCTTTTCTATTGTAAAGACCTCTGACAAACCCCCATTAACTATAAGTTGTGCCATTTGTTTTTGATAAATAGCACCAAGAGCTTGTAAAATTTTTTCTCCAAAGTTCATTTTATCAATTAGTCTTAACATAAATTGCCAATTCAATTGGTCAAAAGCTTTCTCAGCATCTAGAAATATCAATCCTGCAGAGACTTGATTATTTTTATCTAAATATTCTAATAAGTTAATAATTTGTCTGACATTATTCTTCATATACCTTCCAGTTATAAAACCCATTTGATCCTTATGTATAATCTGACACAAAGCCCTTATAAGCCTATTAGCTAGTATTTTTGCAAAAATCTTATAATCTACATTTAGGTCTATAATTCTTTGGTAGAGTAAGATCTTGGTCTTCTTTT